AGGAAATTTCTCTGCCTAGGGCACATCATAGTTCCTTCATAGTTCCCTGCTATTTTGATATGTGCTACTTACTATTGATAGCCTTAATGGAAGGGAAAAGAGTAGGAACTACGAACTCCTTGTGGTTCTCTCCAACACCCACCCCTTTCTATTTTTGTATCTGTCGTTTATCTACATTCTTATTACCTGCATGTTGGCTGCTCTTTCTTTGGGGTTTTATTTTTTAAATGTTGCCATCCAGACAAACACCTCCAATCTCTGTCTGGATTTGGATCTTCACCCTCTTCCATCCCAATTTTTGTGGTTCTCTATTATATCACTAGCAACAAAATTGGGACTCTTTGGACCTGTTTGTTTTCAGTCAAAAGAGAAAAGCCTGTTTGCTTTGTGCATGTCTTCTTTTAGCAAGCTTGAGTCTAAACTGGCAAGTGCGGTTTTAAACATTAGGGAAATGTTGCATGTCATCTTAAATATCTAATGGAAGCCTAAACATGGTTAACATAAATGCACATGCACACACACACAGACACACACACACACTTCAATATTATATGTTGGCCATTCCTAGAATCTCCATAGAGAGTTTGGTCAAAGTGTAATCAGCCTAGAGCACACCATTCTGGCTGTGACAGAAATTAAGCATGTGTCAGCATGAGCCATGAAACAATATACAATCACAGTTCAGAAATAAGCATTTACGGTATTGAATGCTGTGAATGCAATGCCTCACATTTCTCTTTTCAATTATGAAAAATGCCACAGAAGTATGCACGTTCAAGTAGTAGTGATTGAAATATGTTTTAGTTCTAGTTATTAACAGAATTCTCACCAAGAAAAGTGGGCCTGTGAACCAAGAGCCTCTCCTCACATTTCCTCAAGTAGTAACACACTTCCAAATGCCTGTATTTCTTAAATTCCCCCTTTGAGAAGAAATGAGACTAACTGTTGACCTTCACTTGGGGTGAGCCAAGAGGTGTTGTCTTCCCACCCTTACTTTACCACCAAGTCCTACAAACCCAAAAGCACAGTTGATGAAACAGATGAATATAGAAGTATGTTTTCAAGGATTCTATGACTATCTATAGGTATTCATTAACATGGAAAATTGGAGTTCTGTGACCTTTGATGCCTTTAACAGATCTCTGAGTCATCTAAGCAGTTTTCAATCCTCTTGCCATGATAATTACTCATGAGCCAAAAAATGAGTGGGGGGATATATTTGATCTGAAGTTTACAGAACCATTCATGCTTATTAGAATTGACTTTGTGAATATTCTTATAGAATCTTATATGAGGTTTTTTCTGTATGAGGTGACTGAGTCAGACAAATGGAGACTTAGAGCAATACTCTAATAGAGCTCTGGAGCCTTGACATAATCTGAAAACAGATGCAGGGTTGATCACGGAGGAGGGTCAGCCCAGCTGGCAGTTTCCAGATGCATAATAAAAGGGACAGATGGGACTCACCCGTCCATTATCCATCTGACCCTGATGGGATGCTGACAAGAATGTTAATGCATAAGTCTGTTCAGCTTCAGTGCACCCTAAATTCATACTCACTTATATGAATTCCCATCTAATAAACAAAATAAGGCATCAATAGCTAGCATTCTGCCATTAACCTTGACTGAAAGGTAAATTCTGCTGCAATCTAGCCCAGAGAACTGGCCCATGCATGTAGACAGCCAAGGGTAAATCTTGAAATCTTTCAACCTCCTTCTTAGACACTGGTGCCTCCAAGACACTGGTGCTGGTTTGGGGAATGTCAGTCTGTATTGGAACCCAAAGGTTTCATCTTACTCCAGAGTGGTTTGTTGATCCTGGATAGTTCCCAGAGTAATATGTCCAGTGAAGCATCACCAAAGCTTGTGATCTAGATGGTAAAACTGCATGCTTGTTAAGACTCATGGTATAAGAAAGCCTTAAGCCTCTCAGATAATCCTGAAATTTTACCAATGGTGTCCAGTGTCTAGCACGTAGTAAAGGCCCAATAAAACTTATTCTATAATTAAACCTCCAAGTTCTCTTGAGAATTTGTTTCAAAACCACATTTCTTGGATCATCAAATACCAGCCTCAACTCCCTAGGGGGTCACAAGATGTGTTACCTTTTCAGAATACAGTTGTTACCAGCATGGTAGATCAAGTGGCCTTAGTGCCATTGTCTCAGAATAGACAAAAGTCTAAATTATACCAAGTGAGCATATAATCAGGACACTCATCATTTATCATGTTATCTTGTACCAGGCTGACCTATCATCCTCTTTTGAGCCTTCAAATATATTCTCTTGGGTTGACTCACATCCCACTCCACAGAATCATAAATTTATGTCTCATGATACACACAGTGAGAAAGACAAACGAAAAGAAAATCTAAATATAAAAAGCATGCTTTTTTTTTTCCATTTATCTGCTTACACAATCTAGAGAAGTTCACAGATGCTCCACTGTGGGGTCAGGTCTCAGGACATCACATGTCTGGACCCAGGTAACCAGAACATAGAATGAAGCCAACCAGAACACGGAATGAGAACATGGAACAAGATCTATTCTCTGAGGTGGGACTGTCCCTGGTCGGGAGTCATTAGGAAAGTCCAACACAGAGTATTAGGCCAGTTGAATGTGTGGAAGATGGTATCAGAGTAGACATGGGTTTCAGGAAGTCAAACAAACCAGACTGCATGGGAAAATCTAATAACTTGTCACTGTTCTGGCCTCTGGACCAGGTTCTGAAGCAAATTTACATTCTTGGGAAGAGCCTAGAGGGAAGATCTGTTCCTGTTTTAATTCACTTAGGATGACGGCCTCCAGCTGCATCCATGTTGCTGTAAAGGATATGATTTCATTCTTTTTTATGCCTGCATAGTAGGACTCTGTATTTTTAACAAGATCTCAAGGCTATAGTGGGAAGCCGTTCCCTAAGATCAGGGAAAGTTACATACAACTTATAAAAAACAGAAAATTTCTAAAAATCAAAAACATCATCATTGCATGATCCATGTGTTTGCCACACCATAATGTCTGAAACAGTTAAAATTTACTGGTGCTTCATTCTATCTCTGTCCCTAACACACACACTTGTCCTTTAAAGTAAATTTCCCACTTAATCTTTTTGGCACTGATCTGTTAAATATTTGAACTCGATTGTTCAAGTGATTATTTGAAATTTGCATCTGGTATTTAAGATCTCCAACTAAATAAATACCATGCTGTTAATCAAACAAATTCATTGTGAAAAGGTAAAAACGTGCTCTGTATTAATTTCAGTAACTATTTCAGGCACTCACCAACAAATAAATACCCAGTGTAAGTTAATCATCTAATCTGAAGTTCCCAAAAGTTCACAATCAAATAAACCAAAACCCCAGCAATGATAGATTCTTGTAATTATCTTTATCACGTTAATGTCTGTGTATAATTACCCACAATATAAGATTATGTGAAAACAGTGAGCTCTGGGACTGGTTCCTGAAACAACAAGCGCTTTATCTTATAAATTAATAACAACGATTTGCACTTTATAGACCTTTTTATCCATTGGTCTCATTGCAAAGATGAATTAATTGGATTGTAATATAACTTCCTGGAACAAAAGCATCATTCTTGAGATTAAAAAATGCATTTAAGTAATTGTCATGATGAGAATCCATTTTTTATACAGTTTCTTTTAAAAATGTGTTTTTCAATTATAACTCTATCCCTTAACTGCACTAAGAAGCAAACAGAAAAATGTCTTTGGAGAAAAATTTATTTCAGAATTTTATTTTATTTATTTAATATCACTATTTTGGAGACAGGGCCTCACTCTGCCACCCAGGCTAAAGTGCAGTGGCACAACCTCAGCTAACTACAGCCTGACAGCCCAGGATCAAGCAATCCCCCTGCCTCAGTTTTACAGGTAGCTGAGATTACAGGTGTGTGCCACAAAGCCTGACTAATTTTTTTTTTTTTTTTTTTAGTAGAAGTGAGGTTTTGCCATGTTGCTCAGGCTGATCTCCAACTCCTGGGCTCAAGCAATCTACCTGCCTTGTCCTCCCAAAGTGCTGGGATTACAGGCTCACAGCCACCACGACTGGTCTATTTCAGAACTTTAAACGTATCTCTGGTGGGGAGTAGAACTATAAGCCAAGCCTCTTTGCTATAAGATCAAGGTTCAGTCCACAATACTACCCAGAAAATCAGAATGACGTAGGGAATGTTCCGGAGAACACAGAAGCCACATTTACTGCACATGCCCAGGAACTAATTTCTCTGTCCAACTAGTCTTCACTCACAATGTCCTTTCTGAGTCCATAAGGAGTTCTCTACTCAGAAACATCCTCCTCTCCTAAATCTTTCCTGCGTACTAAGAATTAGGTATCAATCTCAGTACTTGACATATTTCTTACCCTTAAAACCATGAAGATTGACTTTTATGGATATATTGAAAGCAAAAATAATGTCTATATATCAACCACGTAAGCAAGACATATGTTGCTAAACCTAAGGGATTCTTGCTAGAGCAAGGATACTATGCCCATCAGCTAAAGATAAGTCCTCACATGCTGTTCATAAGACTAGCTGGGCTTCCTAAGTATTCCCTTCTCCATGCACACCACGGCATGATTCTGTACTCAGTCCCTGACCTCACAGTCAGCCCAGGAATAATTAATTAGAAGTTAGAGGTGCCAGCAAGGGGACATATAATGCTCATCAATTTATTTGTGTGGTTTATTTTCTTTATAAAAAACAAAACAAAACAAAAAAACCTATATAAAATGAAGAGTCTCTTTAAAACGATTTGCCAAAATAGGCTAGTACTGTGTGGTTAAAAAAACAATAGTGGGTTAATGTAATAAACATTTATATCAGCGTATTTGTGGGTCAGAAATTCAGGAGCTGCTTAAGTGGTTGATTTTGGCTCAGAGATTTTTCAAGAGGCAGTGCTCAAGATGTCAGCCCAGGTTGCCATCAACTGAAGGCTTGAATGGAGCTGTAAAATGTATTTCCAAGATGACTCACTCACATGGCTGTTGGTGGCACTCTGCAGTTTCTTAACACATAGACCTCTCCATAGGTCAGCTTGAGTGTCTTCATGACATGGTAGCTTGCTTCTCCCTGGAGGAAGAACAAGGAGGAAGCCTTATATACCCTAATGTCATTACACACCTTCACCTCAACCATATTCAATTCATCAGAAGAGATCACTAAATACAACCCACAGTTAGGAAGAGAGAAATCAGAGCCCATCTTTCAAAGGGAAGATTAACATTTTATTGACATATTTTAAAAACCACCACAGGGTCATTTCCAGGCTTTTCCTATATTCTGCAAGGTCTGCATTACAAGTCAGGGCAGCTCCTAAACATGATCAATTATTTTTATTATTTTTTGTCATGATTTTTGATATATTATACTATTATTTTTTATTTCCACAGGCTTTTAGGAACAAGTGGTATTTGGTTACATAAGTAAGTACTTTAGTGGTGATTTGTGAGGCTTTGGTGCACTCATCACCTGGGCAGTATACACTGAACCCAAGAGATTATCCATTCTTTAAGCTGAATATAATGCTGATCCCATGCATGCCATTAACAGTGGCCTCCAATGAGGGAGAGAGTCAGGAAACAAGGGACAATACAAGGCACTATGGTTACTTTAAAGGCTTTATAAAGTGATCTTAAATCTGCACTGGCAATTTTAGGACAGATTGTGTAAATAAGTAATAGAGTTAAACAGTTGTACCTCTCACGGACAGTTTGACTGCCCACTAGAATCAAGTCTGAAGCGCTTCAGAGGAGATGCTAACATTGGACAATCAACCTCCAAATCCCCCACACTTGTCTGAACATGTTCAATTTTACCATCTTCTTCTCTCTGCTATGCTGAAATCAATGTATTCATGTCTTGGTGGGAGAGTGGAACAAGAGTTGCTAAACTATTCCCTGGAAGGAAAACTAACGCCAGAAGGTGTCTTCTTGTTCCTCTGAGTCCGGACACTTGAGTCAAACTCTGCTAAATATTCTATGGAGCAATGGAGGAGACATCAGCCCCCAAATGAATATTCTTCCCTGTCCTCTATTTTTGCAGCTTACTCTGCTTGAATGTTACTCCCAGTGTTCTGTATTCAGGGAGTAACGTAGGAACCTCTTTCTCACTGTTCCCCACTCTCTCCCTCTGTCTCACCCACATACTCACTCATGCATACACCACCCCAGGTAATGTATCAGATCTTTTAAAAACATAGAAACTTTTAAAACACTAGTGTCCTGTGTAGAGGTTAATGGTTATCCATAATATATCCTTGATTATGTTGAATGACACCTTAGTGAGATGTCTAGCATTCCCAGTGTATGGAAAGTATTTTTTCAAAAGTAATAATGATGTTGTTGGCAATAATAAAGTCTATATTATGTTCCAGAAGTTGTACTAGGGGCCTGATATACATTATCTCATTCATTTCTCACAACACTGAGAGGTCAATAATATTATTGTTATACCCACTTGACAAATTAAGAAACTGAGCCTTGAAATTCGGCGACTTGACTGAGGTTAGACCACAAATAATGGGGGAAGTAGGGCTTCCAACCCAGGAAATCTGAGGCCAGATTCCACATGGGTACCTAGCACTGACCTTAGCCAGAATGAATGCCCCACGTAATTACTTAGTAGAGGATGGAATGGATGAAGAAGGAAAAAAAGAGTAAGGTCTTGTTGAGCCTTTCTTTCTAAACAGTTAAAATGGCCACCAATTATAAGGCTTGATCACTCATTATTTGGACGTATATTTTTGTGTCTCAACTAGACTGGCAACTTAATGAATAAATCCTGTTTCATGGGACATCTATTCTCTCCTGGGTACATAGAAAATTCTAGATAAATTACCTCTATAATAGAAGAAAATTCATGTGACTCAGAAGTTTTAAAAGACTATATTACCTCTTCATGTTGTTCAGTAATTTATTCTTTATTTCTGAATTTCCTGATTTACCAAATCCACCTCTTAAACAGTGAGTATAAAACTAAATGAGATAATATACATATAAAAAAATGTATCACCTAGTAGGCACTCAATGTAGTTTATCATTATAAATACTATTATAGTATATGTTTCCATTAGCATTTCCCAGAGTAAAATATATATGTATGTATATATGTGTATATATATATGTGTGTGTGTGTGCTGATATATATATTTATCCTTCTACCTCTGCTATTTAAAATAACTGTCATTTATTATGTATTTAATGTCTTGCAAGTATTTTAGAAGGTGATTCTTATATATTACTAATTTTAACAATGAGACTTGAGGCTCTGAGAGGTCTGCTAATGTGTGTGTGACCTATGATCACACTGCTAAAATGTGCAAGAGCTAGAATATAAACTTAAATCTGTGTGATTCTAAAGCCAGTGCTATTTCTGCTAAAATGAAGGACGCGATCTAAACCAGGTTCTCATTTCTCTGCTCCTCCCAAAATGTGAAGTTCATATTTTCAGCACACATACATAATATTCCAGGTAGGAATTCTGCTTGTCTCTCATTCCATAGGGATGCCCTTACATGCTATCCTGAGAAAGAACATTGTTTTAACAAGAAATTCTACCTTTTTCATGAGGCTATTGATATTGCCATGCTGGCATTTCGAAGAAGACGGACTTGGAGAAGGCAGTCACCACAATCCTGTTGGACCTTAGAATTCCTCACTGATATGAGGAATCTAGGATCAAAACTAGAAAAACTTAATCTACCCTCATTTACTTGCAGTGAGAAGATAAAGCAGCCTTGCTTCTTAAAAAAGTAGTTACTGGTCCAGGATTTCTCAGGACAAGAAATCCTGGAAAGGAGTAAGTTCATTCAGGCCACAGCTACCTGTCTTCTGTGGCAGTCAACATCTTTTCTACTGTACTAAAGGGCACCTAGTATCACAACTACTGAGTAACCACTGAGAAAACAAATTCTATTAACAAAGGCCACAATGTCAGTTTCTTACAAGCTAGCCTAAGCATTATGTGTAATTAATAATCAACTCCTCCCTTTTCTTAACTAGATTAATAAAACAAGTGTGTTTTTAAAATATAACCAACCTTGGGATCTGAATAGGACAGGGCTAGGGGAAGTGTAATATTTACCAACCACACTGCTATCAGCATCTTTACATTTATGTTTATGCTACTTTTCTACAAAATGAGTGAAAAATAGACACCCTCGTTTGAATGGTGATTATATTTACATTGAGTATTCTTAATTTGTTATGGGTAGTGGGAGGTTATATGCAAGAGAAAATAAGTTATCAATAATTTTTAATCATATGGTCTTCCAAAATCTGCTCATACTCAGTAGCTTTACTTCATTTTCCTGAATCTTATTATGATAATCAAATCAGAAATATACTAATTATTAGCAGTATCAACCATAACAACTAGCAATCACTGCGTGCTTACTCAGGCCCAGACACTCACAATCTCACTGACTCATCACAGCAACTCCATGAGATAGGTATTATTACTTTTTCTATTTTACAATTGCGAAAACTGAGGCTTAGAGCTTTTAAACCACTTGCTTAAAAAGTCCTTACTCTTTTTTAAAAATTTTATTTATCATACTTTAAGTTCTGGGGTACATGTGCAGATCGTGCAGGTTTGTTACATAGGTATACACGTGTCACGGTGGTGGTTTGCTGTATCCATTGCCCTGTCATCTACATTAGGTATTTCTCCTAATGCTATCCCTCCCCAGTCCCCACCCCTGCTATTCCTCCCCTAGCCCCCCACCCTCCACGCCCAGGTGTGTGATGCTCCCCTTCCTGTGTCCATGTGTTCTTATTGTTCAACACCCACTTATGAATGAGAACATGCAGTATTTGGTTTTCTGTTTTTGTGTCGTTTTGCTGAGAATGATGGTTTCCAGTTTCATCCATGTCTCTGCAAAGGACATTAACTCATCCTGTTTTATGGCTGCATACTATTCCATGGTGTATATGTGTCACATTTTCTTTATCTAGTCTATCATTGATGGATGTTTGGGTTGGCTCCAAGTCTTTGCTATTGTGAATAGTGCCACAATAAACATACATGTTTATATATCTTTATAATAGAATGATTTATGATCCTTTGGGATATACCCAGTAATGGGATTGCTGGGTCAAATGGTATTCCTAGTTCTAGGTCCTTGAGGAATCACCACACTGTCTTCCACAATGGTTGAATGAATTTACACTCCTGCCACAGTGTAAAAGTGTTCCTGTTTCTCCACATCCTCTCCAGCATCTGTTGTCTCCTAACTTTTTAATGATTGCCATTTTAACTGGCATGAGATGGTATCTCAATGTGATTTTGACTTGCATTTCTCTAATGACCAGTGATGATGAGCTTTTTTTCATATGTTTGTTGGCTGCATAAATGTCTTCTTTTGAGATGTGTCTGTTCATATCCTCTGCCCACTTTTTGATGAGTTTTTTGATGTGTTTTCTTTCTTGCACGCTTGTTTAGGTTCTCTGTAGATTCTGGATATTAGCCTCTTGTCAGATGGATAGATTGCAAAATTTTTTTCCCATTCTGTTGGTTGTGGTTCACTTATTAATAGTTTCTTTTGCTGTGCAGAAGCTCTGGAGTTTAATTAGATCCCATTTGTCTATTTTGGTTTTTGTTGCCATTGCTTTTGGTGTTTTAGTCATGAAGTCTTTGCCCATGCCTATGTCCCGAATAGTATTGCCTAGGTTTTCTTCTAGAGTTTTTATGGTATTAGGTCTCATGTTTAAACCTTTAATCCATCTAGAGTTAATTTTTGGATAAGGTGTAAGGAAGGAATCCAGTTTCTGCTTTCTGCATATGTCTAGCCAGTTTTCCCAACATCATTTATTAAATAGGTAATCCTTTCCCCATTGCTTGTTTTTGTCAGGTTTTTCAAAGATCAGATGGTTGTAGTTGCGTGGCATTCTTTCTGAGGCCTCTGTTCTGTTTCATTGGTCTGTATCTCTGTTTTGGTACCAGTACCATCTTGTTTTGTTACCGTAGCCTTGTAATGTAGTTTGAAGTCAAGTAGAGTGATGCCTCTAGCTTTGTTTTTTGTTTGTTTGTTTGTTTTGCTTAGGGTTGTCTTGGCTATGAGGGATCAAAAA